GGGAAGAGGGAGGAAGTAGCAGAAAGAAACTCACCTACTTCTCACCAGTTCCATCTCAGCACACGTTGGAAGGAACTTGCACAAGATTTCCACCTCCTGGGGCAGTGCTAAGGAGGAGCATTCTTCTCTTTCCTCCCTGCTCTAACCTATGTGAGACCACATATAGTTAAGTAATGGGTTTGTTTCTTTTACTTTCTAAACCATTCTGACAATCTCTGCCTTTTAATTGGTATGCTTAGACGAGAGGTTGGCAAACACAGCCTACAGGCCAAATCCAGTCCACCACCTGTTTTTGAAACAAAGTAGAATATGCAACAGAGACTGTATGCAGCCCATTAAGTCAAAAATATTTATTATCTGGGGGCTGGCCTGGTGGCTTAGTGGTTATGTTCACATGCTGCACTTCGGCGGCTGGGGGTTCGCAGGTTTGGATCCTGGGCACAGACCTAGAGACGGCATCCCACGTAAAATAGAGGAAGGTTGACACAGATGTTAGCTCAGCAACAATCTTCCTCACACACAGAGAAAATTTAGTATCTGGCCTTTTTAAAACTTTGCCAATCCCTGATTTGGATCATTTACATTTAATATAATCATTGTTACCTTTGGATTTAGGTCTACCACTTTATTAATTGCTTTCAGTTCCCTCTGTTCTTTTATCTTCAGTTTCCCCTCTCCTGTCTCCTTTTGGGTTATTTGAACACTTCTTATTGTGATATTTGACCTATTGTGTGTTTTGACTATATCTGTTTGGATAGTATGTTTATGGCTTGCTCTCGGGATTACAACATGCATATTTAACTTTTCTAAACCTACTTAGAATCAATATTTTAGCCCTTCAAGTGCAATGTAGAAACCTCACTACCATATGGGTCTCTTTATCTTGCCCCTTTACATAATATTTATATATTATATTTATAAACACTGAAAAATCCACCAGACTGTTATAATTTTTGCTTGCAATCATTAAACGTATTTTAAGGAATAAAGAGGAGAAGACGAGTCTATTATATTTCCCTAGATATTTACTATTCCTTCATTTCTGATGTTCTGGTATCCTTTTGGTATCATTTCCTTTCCACCTGGTGAATTTTCTTCAGCAATTCTTTTAGAACAAGTCTGCTGGCAACAAATTTGCTTAGTTTTCCCTTATCTGAGAATGTCTTTATTTCAACTTCATTTCTGATGGATCTTTTTGCTAGATATGGAATTCTGGGTTGACAGTCCAGGATGGAGGGACACCAGAGGGAAAAAATGGTAGATTCAACATCGGTTTGGCGGTACTTTGAATTTTTGTTTTCTTCACTGATCTGCCTGCTACTATTCATTTTTGAGAGTCCTCAATTATCTTCTCTGTGCGTCCATCCAGATTTTACAGCTGCATTGAGTTAGAGAGATGGGCGGAGTGTGCTACACCATCTCTCCCAGAACCAGAATCCTCTCCTCATCCTTTTAGTATATTTCCATTAGGAGGAGGAGCTAATCCGATTAGTGGGAGCTGATCTCCCCTGGTCAGTGTTTACTAGTAAATGGGGTTATCATGTTAAAGGTCATACCCCGGCATGCCCCAGCTCCATTGTTCTCTCTTTGACCTGCTTGCACCAGGACAATAGGCCCTTGACCTTTCTGTCACCAGCTGGCAAGTACACATAAGGCGGGCCCAGGGCCTTTTGCAGAGAGAGCTCTGGCCATCTTCTCTTTTCTCCTGATGACCTCAGAACATATGAGGCCTACCTAGAGTTCTCACAGCTGGGGGGTCTCAGAGGGTCTGCTCTGTGAATCCAGCTCTCCTCATGGAAGGTCCCCAGGTCTACATGTGGGAGAGAGTAGGAGGTCCCCACTTTGGTCCCAACTCTGTCAGAAAGTCCTGAACCCTGGGGGCTGTTGGGCCCCTGCCTGTAGCCTTAATTTGTTGATACTTCTTTTTATTTTGCCGTTAGATCCCAGTATCTAGTCTCTCCGTATCACTCAGCATAAGAGACAGAAACCCTACTCTAGCTGGTTTAAACAAAATCAATTTATTGGTGTATGTCCATGAAAATGTCAATTTCAGGCTAAGCTAGAACCAGGAGCATTTCTCTTCATCTTTCACATCTGCTTTTCTCCATAACAGCTTCAGTCTCAGGCCACGTGGTAGCCCCAAGACCTCAAGGTTCAAAACATCCTACACCTGGATATCACAATAAAATAAGACCTTCTCCTTTGCAGTAACTCCTACAAAAATCCTCAAATTGAAGCTCATCGACTCTAACTGGGTGACACGCCAATGCCTGTGGCCTGAAGAAAGATTGGCCTACCCAAACCACAGGGGCTGAGAGCAGAGAAGAGTGGCTCCTCAAGGAAAACTGGGATGCTGAGACCAAAAGAAAGAAGATACTTTGGAAAGCGAGCAACACATGAATAAGCAACCACCTTATTCAAGGAAAAGTCTGATCCAGCCTGTAATTGGAACTGACAATTATTACGCTTTGACTATCTGCCAGGGACTGCGCTAAGCACTTTACATATATCACCCCATTTAATACTGACAATAATCATTAAAACAACAACAACAACATGAAAGGTACTCAACATGATTAGTCATGAGGGAAACGTACATTAAAATCACAACGGGATACCATTCCATAAGGATTGAAAATACCAAAAGTTGGCAAGGATATAGAACAGCTGAAATTCTTATCTATTGCTGATGAGAGTATAAGGGGGCACAGTCACTTTGGAAAACACTTTTTTGCAGCTTCTATAAGGTTAAACTACACTTATCATGTGATTCAGCAATTTGACTCCTAGATCATGTCCCAAGAGGATGACAAAGATTCTCTCATTGACCAAATGCTACTCAGACTCCACTGAGCTCTTTTCCAACTAGGCCTGACTTTTGGACTTCTGTGTTCCTCTCTGCCTTGTCCAATTTTAGCAAGACTCCTGATAAATCAATTTAACCAGGATCCCCCCTCCTCCTATCTGATCACCCTCAGTTTCTGATCAGGTTCCTCATCCTCCAGCGTCCTCCGGGTGATGTCTGATCCCCCTGGCCTGCCTCCAGCAAGAATCCTGTTAGGGTGGTTTAGCCAGAATACCCCTTCATCTTGATGGTTCCTCTTAGTAATTTTCCATCCACTGACTCCCCATCTCCTCCCACTGCTCCTTGGCTTAAATTCCCACCTGCCCACGCTGTATTCTGAGTTGAGCTCAATCTCCCTCCACCACTGCAACATTCCATCACACTGGTCCCTACACCTATCAGATAGTTCCCCTCTTCCTGCCCCCCACCTTGAATAAAATCTACCTTACCATGCTTTAATGGGGGTTATTGAATAAGTTTTTCTTTAACAAGGGATAAATAACATATGTCCACACAAAGATTTATATAAAATGTTCACAACAGCTACAAACTGGAAACAAACCAGTGGGAGAACAGATGACCAAATTTTGCCATAGTCGTACAATGAAATACTACTCAACAATAAAAAGGAATTAATTCCTGATACAAAAACAGGGATGAATCTCACAGACACAAAGCAGAAGGAAGACACGAGGCAATGCTTATTGTATGATCCCATTTATATGAAGTCCAAGAACAAACGAAACTAATCTGTGGTGATTAAAATCAGAAAAGGGTTGTCTCTTGGGGGAGAGAAGGACTATCTAAAAACCTGGAAAGGGGCACAAAGGAGCTCGTCTGGAGTGATGGAAATGTTCTATATTTTGTTTGGGTGGTGGTTATGAGTGCATACCATTGTTAAAAGTCATCAAATTGAAGTAAGATCTGTGGATTTTTATTATATGCAAATTATACCAAAACTTTAAAAAATGACAAAGGGCTAGCATTAAATAAAGCTTGCGCCATAGTTTCCTTAACCAGTCCTCTAATGTTGGACATTAGTTTTTTTCCACTTTTCACAATCATAATTTATGATACAGTGAATATCTTTTTGCATATGTTATTACCCATATTCAACATTCTGACTTAAAAAATGACAGTTCATAGGGTCCAACCTAATAGATTTTTAATATTTTGGATTATTCTCCTAGGTTACATTTTTAGAGTGGGGTGACTTGAGCAGACTTTACAAACATAAGACTGTTGATACATACTGCTAAATTCCTTTCCCTAACAGTTCTACGAAGGTTTAACTCCCACTAAGCTTTTATTAAAGTGTCTACTTGCACCTTAATATTTTTAATTCTTAGTATTTTGATAGCCACTTACATCTCTACCACAATCATATGCACCCTCTGTTCCACCAGCATTTTGTAGCTCTCTTACGGCTCCTAGCACATTCTTCCTACATCACGTACGTGTACACACATGGGGGCATAGGAAAACAATTCCTGGAGGACAAGAACAATCTCACTTTTCTTTGTATCTCCTAGCCTGGCGCCTAGTGCATTTCATTCCTTCATTCAAGGAACATCTACTGGGTTCACCCGATGGACCAGTAACTGACATAGGTGCAACAGGCATTCAGAAAGTTCACTGAACAGCAGTAGGTTCAAAGATATCCTTTTGTTATACCGGTAGGTCTCATTTAACATTCATGCCCCACGTTTTAAATTCCCCGATTGAGACTTTCTCATTTCTATGGTGCACTAATCTGGGAACAAAAGCTCTGAAAGTGTAGCCTTTAAATGTATTGACTATGTAAGCGCTGTTTCCTCGGCCCTGTTAATAATTCCTTAAAACGCACCCCGGCCCCCCACAATTTGGGGGACTTCGGACGAAGCTAGTTAGTAAAATCTAGGGCAGCCTGGTGGCGCAGGGACTTTTCACCCGACTCTGCGGGCGCCGGGGTAGTTAATTTCTTTCTAAGGACCTCAGTGTCATCAAAATGCAAATCGTGGCAGAGCGAGCTCATTCCAGTTCCGGGAGCGCCAGCAACCTCCCCGCGGTCCTCGCATTCGCCCGCCCGGCGGGGCGGGGTCTCGCCTCTCCCGCGGCGTCCTGGAGACTAGCCCCGCCCCGCGCCTGGCGCGCGCCCGGAGCCCGTTCCCCGGGCAGGAAAGGGCGGGCCTGGCGCCGCGCCCACGCTCGCTGCTGCTGCCTGGGACTCAGGACCCGGCCGCGCGGGAGCGGCGCCGCGCCGGGCCACCATGATCGCGCGCTCAAGCCGGTGAGCGCCCAGGGGATGGACTGCGGCTCCGTGGCGGGCAGCAGGCCGAAGCGCTCGCCCGGCCGCCGGCGGCTCCTGCTCTTCCTGCCCGCCCGCCGCTGCGGAAGCCCGGCCGGCCGCGGGGTCCCGGCCCTGGCCGCGCCGCCCGGGGGGCTGGGGGCGCTGCGTTCCCGCGCCCCGGGGGCCCGCGCCTCTCCGCTGCTCCTGCTCCTGCTCGTGCCCGCCCCGCGCCTGGCCGCCGCCGCCCCGCGCCGGCCGCTCGCGGACTGGGAGCGCTCGTGCGCCGCGCCCTGCGCTTCCCCGGCCCGGCGCGGCGGCGCGGGGAGCTGCCCATCGAGCCTCGGGCCGCGCGTCCCCGGGGCCGCCAGTGCCCTCCGCCTGCGCCGCGGCCCGGCGGCCGGCCTCGCTGCCTTCCGGAGAGGTGAGCGCCGGGCGGGGCGGCGGGCCCGAGGAGCTCGGCTTTGACCTCCAGGGTGGGGAAGGCCCGGCGACCCAGAGGGCGACGGGTCAGCCGAGGTCACCAGGCTCCTCCCGGGGCGTGGGGACGAAGGTCTGTCTGGTCCCGCCCTTCTGGGCCTCGGGAGCCTGGGCTTCGTCAGCCGAGAAGGTCCGAAGGACTCGGAATCCGGGTCGAAGGTGCAGGGCGCAATACTTTCGGGGGATGCCGGGCGGGCCAGGCGTGCCGGGACAGGGATGGGGCGCGCCCCTGGGTGGCGCTGCCGCGTGGGAGCCTGCGCCCAGGTTAATGGTTGTTCAGGTGCCCAGCTTGTCGCGATTCCGGTGAAGGGGTGTGCGGACGCTTGCAGGTTTAAGGAGCAAAGCTCCGGGAAACGAAGGGATTGTTTCACAGTTTAATTTCAAACTCTAATGGGCTCATTAATTCCTCCTTTAAGCACTGGCTCCTACTCTGTGCGTGGCACTTTTCTAGGTACTTGGGATGGATCAGTCGGCAATATCGTTTCCTCCTTGGAGCTTAATTCTAGCAGAGGAAATGATGTATATATATACACACACAATTTGTGTATGCATATATATTTTACATGTGTATATAATATATTTACGTAATCTGATAAATCCTGTAGGAAAAACTAGAAGGGGTTAGGGTTAGGAAGTGGGGTGGGCCTCCAGTTACGAATTTAAATAGGGTCATCAGAATCGGTTTCATTGAGAAGGTGGCATTTGATTAAATACTTGACGGGGCGGTGGGCAGTCAGGGCCCTGCATGAGATTAGGGAAATCTAAACAGGCTCAACATACTAGATAACAAATTGATAAAAATATCATTTTGGGTAATCTTTCTTAATTAGCAAACTGGCAAAAATATAACTTTGGATAGCCTGTATGTATCCATCAGTAACCACACTGATGGCTATTTTTAAAATATTTTTCTCAACAGAAATGCCCAGGAAAAGTTGGTTGCATTTAAAATTTAAGAATACCTTTGGCTGGGGGAGAATGTTTGCTAGAACAACAAAGTGAACGATGAAGCTTTACATACAAAGGGTGGGAAGTCTGTCAGTGTCCTTCAGTCCTTATGAATTAGAGGCAGCTTTGGGCTTATTTCTTGTACTTTGCCTTTCGTTACTCTTTTTTTGACAAGCTGGTAAGATGTGATTTGTTTTCCTCTCAAGAGTATGGGCAAAAGGGGAGAGCTTTGTCTCATCCGTTTTCTGACATATCAGCAAGGTGTTACTGTTGGATTCGTCTCAGAGGATCTAATTCTTCACAGAGCCATCTTACAGAGTGAGGCTGAATGCATAAATACGGGGAAGCGTAGCCTGCACAGAGTCAAGGAAGGATCTGTGCCCATGAAGCATCAGCAGATGAGCATTCTGTTGCTTGCGTCTTCAGCCCAGTGGCTGGTTTGGTGCACGAGGGTCTCAGTCGGGCTCCTTAGACTTCACATGTTATGAGCAGGAAATGTGTGCTTGGGTTCCTCCTCTAGCCACGGCTAACTTTGGGCTTCTTTTGTGATTGTGTGTTTCTGATATCCTTGTGGTATGCCAAAAGTCTACTAAAAGGAGAATTACATGTCACACTTTGACGTAACTCAGTTTATTGTTTCCTGGTTATTAGGGGGAGTTCACAGTTCTTGGACTTTGTTTTGTTGTCACAATAAAGGAGGAAAAATGACTCAGAGGTGTTCTGAATGCCAGAGTACTGTTGTGTTCGCAGGCCTGTCCTCTGAGGGAAGGGAAGATAGCAGCCCCGTCCCATTGGCAGAGGTAGGAGAGCCAAGTGGGAGGGGGCCTGCCCTTTCCTCCGCTTTTCAGATGGCATATTTCTTTGAAATAAGCTTGCAGTTGAAGTAAGTTCTAGTTGTTTTTGGAAAACAAGAAAGTCGGCAGTATCTGAATTGGCATTAGGTCTTGCTTAGAAAGTAGTCGTGAATGTTTTGTTTTGTGTGTGAATGTGTGTGAGGGGGTGTTTTGTTTTAAATCACGTGAATGATTATTTTGTTATTGACAACAAGGGATTTGAATAATCCCGTCACTCTTGACAAGCCAGTTCTAGACTCAAATGTTTTCAAGCTCCCTGGCTCATGGGACAATCCAGCACAGTTCTAAGAAAGGTGGGGCGGCCTCTGGAGAGCCCCTTGAGAGGTGCATTCGTTCATTCATTCATTCATTCACTCACCCACCCACCACTGTTTCTTGAGCTTCGTCTGTTCTGTGTCAGGCAGACATTCAGGATCTCTTCTCATGGAGGCCAATTTTTGTCCCAGGACTGGAGATAAAGGATGAAAAAAGAGGTATCAAGTTCAAGCGACCTAATTTATGTAAGAAGGGAAGACCGTAGATGAAGAGGAGAAAGGAATTGATCTCAAATTTTCTTTCTAGACAGTCTCATGATCCAGATCTTAGAAGTCATACAGTTGAATTCTCTTAAAAAATCATTTCTGGCCTGCAGGATGCCTGGCCTTCTGCTAGATGCTAACAATACAGAAATGACTAAGGCTGGCTGCTCTTAGGGAGCTGGGACTAATAGATGACACAGATGTGGAAGTACTGCAGTAAACGCTGTGATAGAGCTGCCTGTGCTGGCCTGAGAACACAGCAGGGAGCAGTAAAGGCTGCTGCCTGACCCGGCTGGAGGAGGCAGAGAGGACCATAAAGTGTAGCCTAATGCCTTGCCCAGAACGTAATGCGTGCTTAGGAAATTGTCAAATTAAATGAAGAGGAGTAAAAAGGATGCTTAAAATTTACCAGTTGAGAAAGGGGAGCAAGCCAAGCTTCTGGACGGAGTCCCAAGATACAAAAGTGCAGGAAACAGAATGGCTTAAGTGGCTAGAAAGAAAGCCGAAAGGGTGCGTGTGGGCTAAATTAGGACAGCTTTGTATGCCTTGCCCAGGACCTTATAGTATAGGCTACTGTTTCATTAAATAAAAACTTTGTGCTTCAAAAGGTACCATCAAGAAAGTGAAAGACAACCCACTGAATGGGAGGGAGTATTTACAAATCGTATATATGATAAGAAATTTAGATCTAGGGGCCGGCCCCGTGGCCAAGTGGTTAAGTTCACACAGTGGCCCAGGGTTTCGCAGATCCTGGTCGTGGACATGGCACCACTCATCAAGCCATGATGACGCGGCATCCCACATGCCACAACTAGAGGGACCCACAACTCAAAATACACAACTATGGGGGCCGGCCCGATGGCACAGCGGTTAGGTGCGCACGTTCCACTTCGGTGGCCCACGGTTCGCCAGTTCGGATCCCAGGTGCAGACATGGCACCACTTGCCAAGCCATGCTGTGGTAGGCGTCCCACATATAAAGTAGAGGAAGATGGACACAGATCTTAGCTCAGGGCCAGTCTTCCTCAGAAAAAAGAGGAGGATTGGCAGCAGTTAGCTCAGGGCTAATCTTCCTCAAAGAATAGAAATACACAATTGTGTACCGGGGGGCTTTGGGGAGAAAAAGGGAAAAAAAAATTTTAAAGAAACTTACACGTAAAATATGTAAAGAACTCTTACAACTCAGTAATAAAAAGATAACCCATTTTTTTTAATGGGCAAATGGGCAATAAGCACATGAAAAGATGCTCAACATCATTAACCATCACAGAAGTGCAAATCAAAACTACAGCGAGATAAGGGCTGGCCCCGTGGCAGAGCGGTTAAGTTCTCGCGCTCCGCTGCAGGCTTCCCAGTGTTTTGTTGGTTCGAATCCTGGGCGTGGACATGGCACTGCTCATCAAACCACGCTGAGGCAGCGTCCCACATACCACAACTAGAAGGACCCACAATGAAGAATATACAACTATGTACTGGGGGGCTTTGGGGAGAAAAAGGAAAAAAATAAAATCTTTAAAAAAAAACACAAAAAAACTACAGCAAGATTCCACTTTACACCCACCAGCATGATTATAATAAGAAAAGATAGTTACAAGTGTTGAGGTTGTGGAGAAATTGGAACCGTCATACACTGCTGTTGCGAATGTAAAATGGTGCAGCCCCTTTGGAAAACAGTCTGACATAACCTCATGAGGTTAAACATAGGGTTGCCGTATCATGGACCAATTCCATTCCTAGGTATATACCCAAGAGAATGGAAAATATGTCCACACACAAACTCATGCACCAATGCTCATAGCAGCACTATTCATAATAGCCAAGAAGTGGAAACAACTCGTGTCCTTCAACTGATGAATAGGTTAAAAAATTTGGTATATTCATACAATGCAATATTATTCAGCCAATAAAAGGAAATGAGGTACTGACACATATTACAAGGTGGATGAACCTTGAAAACATCACACTAAGTGAAAGAAACCAGTCACAAAATGCCGCATACCTTATGATTCTGTTCATATGAAATGTCCAGAGTAGGTAAATCAACAGAGACAGACGGTAGATCAGTGGTTGCCTGGAGATGGGGGATAGGGAGATTAGGGCATGAGAGCGAATATTGATTGTTTCAATCAATAGGGTTTCAATTCAAACTATAGGGTTTCTTTGGGGGATGATGAAAACGTTCTAATGTTGATTGTGGGGATGGTTGCGCAACTCTGTAGATACTAAAACCATGGAATTGTTCACGTGAAACAGTTGAGTTGTGTGGTGTCTGAATTATATCTCAGGAGAGCTGTTGGAAAAAAACAGATGGGTCCTTGAGGTGGGCCGTATTTTTTCGTGGTGGGGAGTCGCTTTTGTTTGCCATTAGGTCTGTTTTAACCTGACTGTCCTTTCCGCTCTAGAGCTGAGCGTCTCCGCAGGGCGCGGGCAGCTGGACCACAAGAGGGCAGATTTCGCCTCTTCCGGGAGTAGGAAGCTCTACTTTGACACCCACGCCTTAGTGTGCCTCCTCGAAGAAAATGGTAATCCTCTCTCTGGTCCCTCGGTGCCACAGAAACCACTCTGCATTATGACTTCTCTTAGGATTTCATCTAATTTTGCATATTTCTCTTTGACTTTGAAGTCTATACATAATGTTTTAGTCAATCTCCATTTTTTTAAATCCTCATGTTTTGTTTAAGGACGTTTCTGCTTCATCAATACTATTGAGACTTTCCTCATACATTTTCTCTCTGTCTAAGTGAGGTGTATTTTTATAACATCACTCAGGAGGTATAGTGTTACAGATAAAATATAGACACGGGTCTATAGCAGAACTCAGGAATGGTTCCTATGACAACTGTCTGCAGCACACAAGTGATGGTTTTATTACCGTGCGTCTTGTGTCTTTTATAAGTTTTTATGAAATTAAAATGTTGCTGAGCAGCAATTATTGATAACTTCAACTTATTGTGTTCTTTTCTTTTTTCAAGTTCAGACTAGCATTTCCCTTATCGCTGTTGAGTTAGTGAATGTAAAAGATTGCTCTGATAGAAAGGACGTTTATTGAAAGTACACTTAGTATATATATTCTCAAATTCTTATCTAGACAAATACACCAATTATAGTGTGACACATTCTCAAAATCAGAATCTCACATATCATAGATTGTACATTTGAAATAAATGTATGTTTTTTTACTTCGTGGTATAGTTATCTGTCCAGTTGCGCATGTCCACACGTGAAGAGCTACCCCCCGTAGGCGCACTTCACATGCCCAAGAGCAGGTGGTGGAATGAATTCTGTGCTCGTGTGGGGCAGTTAGAAGCTCTGGACTCAAGCTCTGCCAGGCTCTAGCTGCATAGCCTAGGCGGGCCTTCTCCCCTCTCAGCTTCTGTTTCCTCGTTGGTTGCATGGGCATAATATAAATTCCAGACATCCTTTTGTGTATTAAATGACATAGTGTATTTGAATGCACTTTGAAAAAACTGTCAAATGCTGTATTATAATTTTTACAGCTTCTCTTTTCAAACTTGAAACAGTAGGCCTTTTTCACCAAAACGTCTTTCAGCTCAGAATTTAAGAAAGAAAAGTGGAAGTGAAAAGAGAGGCATCTAAAATTGTCTTGATAAGCAGAAGTCCTCCTGCTTTTCTTTTTCTTTCTGTTTTTTTTTGTTTTTTTATGGACCTTGTGTTCTTGTATTCGAAGTAACCAGTTGTAAAAAGACAAACTAGAGATGGGGGGCATTTCAACACAGACTAGGTGTTAGATGATATTGAGGGAGCATCGTTAGTTTGGTTATGTGTGACAGTGGCGAGGTAGCTGCCGTGGACTCAGGATGGCCTTCCTTCCTCCCATCAAGAGGTGCAGTTTATTTCCCTTCCCTCTCTTTAAAAGTTTATTTATTTATGACAAATAAAAATTGTAGATGTTTAATGTTTAAAATATGATTTTTTGATGTATGTACTTTTTGCTTTTCTTGATTCCGAACCCTGACCCGTGAGTACTTGCGTATTTCAAGAGCCAGTGATGTGAGGACCCACTGAAGTGTAGAGTGTGAGGGCACTTAGATGAATGATGGATGTCTAAGAGGACTGGGCTAGGATAAGGCCAGGAAGGACCCTTCAAGGAATGTTCTGTCCTCTATCCTTTTTTTCTCCAGCACTGTGTCTCCTGCTTAACAAAACTTCCTATATGTCTATAATCTCACTAACCCTGATTGTGTCTTGCTCTCTCATTCCTACAAAAAATTCTTTTGTATCTGGTAACCCAGTAGGTTTTCAGGCTTAACTTCTGTTTTTCTTATCCCTTTCTCTTCCCACAGGTGGTTATAGATTATAAGCCTTTGGAGTTTGTTTTATTATGAGCATAAGTTCCCTTTCGGTCTTTATTTTTCTTTTCTTCGTAATTGCCGAACTTAATTGTGTTTAACTATGAACTCTTCTTAGTAAAGTTTTAAAAATTGTAAAAGTCATGTTCATTTTCAAAAAATTAGGAAGACAGCAGAGAAACAAAAGAAACTATTCTGAATCCCACCCCCAGAGCTAAACACTGTTAACATTTTGGTAGGTAACTTTTTGGGTGATTTTTCTAGATGTGCGTGACCCACACCTTAAAAATTAAAAGATTTTGACTAAAGTGAAGGGAGTAGATCTTCGGAGGCCTTTTTTGTCTCCTTTAAATCTGTATCTTTGGTTTTTTTAAATTATAGTCCCATGCTTAATCTCATTCAAATTGTATCGGTTATAACTGTATTCAAACGAACGTGCCATTAATTAATTACAAGAATCAATAGACTCTTCTGAAGTTCTTATAGATAGAAGTATTTTATAGAAAGAATTACTTTCCAAGGACTTGTTTTGGAGCATTTTATTAGAATTTACAATGAAAATACAAGTTACCATCTAAAATTATTAAAAACAGTAAAGTGCTGAGTTGAAGCTTGATATATTTCAGTACAGCATCATTTATTGAGTACCAAAGAATATATTTTTTCCAGTTTGGGTCCCCCTCACTAGTGACTGAAGAGATTTGTGGAAGAAAAATGAAAGAAGTGATTTTGTCTTTTAACATGAAATAAATTAACAGCTAAATTGCTGTTTATTTTTATTTAGCCAGTGATTTGGCTGATTTATGCTGGATATAAAATAATTGAGCTTTCCTACTTAAGTAAATTATTTTTTACTAACATATACATTTTAAAATTAGGAAGTCATGTTCATTGTAGAAAATTTAGATAACACAGAAGAAAATAAAAATTACCTAGAATCTGTATTAAATTACAAAAGCAATAAATTGTCTCTATAATTTTGAGTCCTGCTTTTTTTCACTTGACATCATTTTTCACTGACATGGCAGGCATGTGCTATGTCATTAGACATTCTCTGAAAACGTGATTTTTGACAGGTGAGACAGGCGTTTGAGATCAGTCGTTTTTACATGAGGAAACAGACTCAGATATGTCGTACTTTCCAGAGTGACAGACACATCATTGCCTATGACTCTGGCCTCCTCGCCCTCCTGCCACACTGGGCTTTCTACCTGCTTCTGAATTCGGACAATCACGTGAAGGTGTCAGTTCGCATTTCCTCCCTTTCTATGGAGGATTTCTTTTTCCTGACAACAGTCTCCCGAGTGTGATTGTCTTTGTGTTTGCTTAGGGTTTACTACTCAGCAAGCGGAAATCATTGTGTCTGCACTGGTCAAGATCGTGGAAGCCAACATGAGTATCGTCTACAAAGATATGGTCACCAAGATGCAGCAGGTCAGCTTGGTTCGGGGCACGTTAGCAGATTTGAAATCTAAAGGTGGAATGTTATTTGTAATATATATTTTTTTATAATATTCTATTGAAAAGCATATAGTAATTTTAACCATAGTTGAGAGGCAAATGATTATAGTGGCAAAAAATAAATTTATTCAAAGCTATTTAGTTAACTATTACAGAATCATTAAACTTGAAAACTCCCTATGATTGAAACCTAACTGTTCCAGTCAACCATCCTTTACTAAATGGAGAAGTGGCCAGAATTACAGCAGTGTGTTCTTGAGCTGCTGGTCCTCAGACTGCCACCCTTTTCGCTGTAATTCACCTGATGACGATGCTGGACTTGAGTTTTTATTCTTTTCCTTTACTCCTTTTGGAAGAGAGGATGGCCTTGCTGGACCTCTTTTCTCCTGTCCACCTTCTTCTAGTTTCTCATTAAGATGAAGCAGGTTGAGACAGTGGAAGGTGGACTTTCCAGACTGGCCTAGGTTCTATGTTTTTTCTCTTCCTAGGAGATCACTCTTCAGCAAATAATGTCTCAGATCGCTAATGTGAAGAAAGATATGATTATTTTGGAGAAGAGTGAATTTTCAGCCCTCCGAGCAGAAAATGAGGTAAAACTACAGAGCCACTCATGCTTATAAAATGCTTTATGTTAAGACATTGAGATATAATATACAGACGCAAAAGTGCACAAGTGTACATCTCGATGCGTTTTCACAAAGCGTACACTACCAGTCAGATGAAGAAGTGGAGCATTACCAGCACCCCAGAAGTCACTCCTCCCACAGAGGAAGCTGCTATCTTGGCTTATATTGCCGTTGACTAGTTTTGCCTATTCTGGAACTTCATCTGATGGAGACATAGCGTGTCTTTCAGTGGTAGATCATTCTTTTTCCTTGTCTACAGTATTATGTGAATATGCCACATTATTCTACTGTGATGTGTATTGGAATTGTTTCTAGTTTGGGTTATGATGAAGAAATGCTGCTATAAAATATCCCTTAGTTTCTTAAAGTGTGGCATATGGGATCACATTTAAATAATGCTATCTTTGCACTTTTGTTTTCAGTCCTGTTTAAAATCCCATAAAAGAAGTTCATTTATTATCTGTTGATCTAGTCTTATAAGAAACCTTCTAGCCAAAGACGACTCCTTTGGCTAGAAAATGGTTAAGTTTGAAACTCAAAGTTGTCCTTGAAGTGTGCTATTTCGGGGCAGAATTAGTTAAAAGAAAAACTGAAGGAGGTATTAAAGAAAGCATGGCCTCTGAAGACAAATGTGCATGTTAAAAGCAATTGTAGCATCCCGCGTGAGAAATAATCATTTCCGGTACTGAGACTGTTCAGTTAATGCTGTGTTCTGAATGTAGGCAAGCTTGTGTTGAATGAGGAAAGAATCTGAACAACTTGTGCATAAATACATGTTCTAATATTTGTTTATTACCGACTTTTGTGTTTCTCTTCTAACCTTCGAAACACATCCTTGACTTGTTTCTATTTAATGTATTTTTAGAAAATAAAACTTGAACTGCATCGGTTAAAACAACAAATGATGGTAAGAGCCTCATTCCTGTTTGTTTGCTTGTTTGTAATTACATGAGCTTAGTAATAAATATAATGTCAGAAATACTTTATATGTTCTTAAACACTTAATTCTTTTTTGTTTTTTTCCAAGGAAGATTAGCCCTGAGCTAACATCTGCCAATCCTCCTCTTTTTGCTGAGGAAGACTGGCCCTGAGCTAACATCCGTGCCCATCTTCCTCTACTTTGTATGTGGGATTCCTGCCACAGCGTAGCTTGCCACGTGGTGCCATGTCCGCACCTGGGATCCAAACTGGTGAACCCTGGGCTGCTGAAGCAGAGTGTGCGCACTTAACCGGTGTCCCACTGGGCTGGCCCCTAAACACTTAATTCTATGTTAAATATTTGTGTAATATGTCTCAAAAGTACCCATCGGAGGATTTAGCTAAGAATACAGCTAGTGAGGGCCAGCCCTGGTGGCCTAGTGGTTAAGCTTGACGTGCTCCGTCCACTTTGGTGGCCTCAGTTTGGTTCCCGGGCACAGACCTACACTGCTCGTCTGTCAGTGGCCATGCTGTGGTGGTGGCTCACATACAGAAAGGAAGATTGGCAGTGGATGTTAGCTCAGGGTGAATCTTCCTCAGAAAAGAATACAGCCAGTGAATATATTACTGATGTCTGTAACCAGATTCATTAAGAAAATTGTGTTCTAAGAGGAATTACTCATTTTTAAATAAATATTTTTCTGAAGTAGCCACATGGAACCCTTAGGTTCTCTTGGAGGAGACTGGCTTTAGAGATTTACATGTGATTTTAAAATGCTTACCATGCCAGCTGTTTGATTTTTTTTTAAGTGGAAAAGGCATAGATGTTAAAAAAGAAAAAGTTTTGATGAACGTCAAAAAGAAGGCTTTATTTATACCAGAATTTAATATTTTACTTCTTTGGGTCCATCTCTGCTTCCAGTGTTGTCCAAGGAACAGCTTTATTCATAAATTCCAGAAGGAGGTTATATTGGAAGTCTTGAGGTTAAAAGCAACAATAACCCACTCTTAAGCATAAAAGGGATTATTTGTATGTGTGACTGGGAGGTCCCAGGATAGACCTGGCTTGACCAGGGTCTCCCAACCTCCTAAGTCCTAGCCCCATTTCTCTGAGCTCCTGGCCCCGCCCCTTCCCACATGGCCCCGCCCCTCCCTGCCTGGCCCCCTTAGGACAGGAGCCGTGGAGGCTGCAGTTCAGGCTTTACGTCCTCAGAGGGTTTGGATTTCTTACTTTGGATTTTTTCTTTCTTTGTTCTTTGCCGTCCTACTAGGATGAAGTGGTCAAAGTCCGAACAGATACCAAATTAGACTTCAATCTGGAAAAGAGCAGAGTAAAAGAATTGGTATGTTCCTTTATTAAAAATAGAGTATGAATTCATTTCCTTGCAGGCCAGAATGCTTGGTCAGGTCTAAGTTTCTATTCACTTAACAAGTACTGTTAAATATTTACTTGTATATCATTGTTAGACACAGTTTTTTCTTTATTTTAATTATATTTTGGATCAGGGTTTAAATTTGACACTTTCGAAAGTAACTTGAAATGAAGATCTTGGTCAAATCAAGTTTGAATTTTTTTTGTTTGTTTCAGAGATACTATATTTACGTCCCTTAGACATTAATAAATTAAACTCAGTCTTGATCTCCTTGATACTGACTTAAACCTCCACACGTCCTGATTTTGCAAAAGTTGTTGATTATCTGACTTGTATAATATTAAATTATTGATTTAAATAATATTCTACACTGAAATTCAAGATTAAAAATATTTTCATAGTCTTTTTTTTAATAGAGAAATCTTAATGACTTTTATTGTTTTGAAATGTAAATTGTCAGAGATTCTTTAAGTTAGGTTAAATTGACATTTTCACTTAGGAAAAGTAGTGGTATATGTTTGTTACCAAAAAGATACCACAAAACGTAGGTTGTAAGTAATTAAGCTGAAGGCTCTGTATCTGGACAATTTGTGGGATTGTGCACAGGACCCAAGAAAACTGGAAATACAGCTCTGCTGCCCTTGCTTTTTCAAAGATGATGCATATAAATAACAACTAGAAATATATCTAGGAGACCGGGAAATATGGGATGTTAACATGGATTAAAGCCAGTGAATTTATGTGATTTACTAACGTAGCTGAGTTGTTCTTGGTAATTAAGTTTAGATTACTCTGAGTACAGCACGGTAGTATATTGTTATGCATGTATTTAATTAACATGTATTTAATGTGCATTGATGAAGATGTGTTATTGACCCTCTCATTCCCTTATTTAATGAAGTTAAATATTGTTTCAATTAAATTAACTGGTGATGTTTATAGCCAGTTTCAAAAGCAATATGGTCTAAAAACTGCTTTGTGGTGCAGAGAGGAGGAGCCACATAGATGTCCTAAAAATCATGGTAATGTCAAGATTTAGGCTTCTCTTTTCTCTTGTGGCTGAGCCAGCAGTGGCTTAGTGGAGACGAGTTGACAGGTGTGCAGAAATCCAGCTCCCCCTGCCCTCTGGTGGTGATCTGATGTATAGCTCTCTCCTGGTCTGAAACCCTGACGTTTGAAAGATGGAGACGAGCATTTGTTGTCCTGTGACTAGTCTTTAGTTTAAGGTTTGGGGTTTTTTCTTCTTTTTTTACTTCTAAGCAATGCTGTTTTTATACTCTATCCCTCTGGTAGTCCCAGGGGAACATTTTATAGCTAGAAAGTTTCTAGATACTTCAAAAGTGTTAATTGTTTCCCCTATAACAATGCTAATGTAGTGAAGAATTTTTAATTTTTCACTTATCGATTTGCATTTGATTAAATGCTATTGCCCACTGCTAAGGAGATATGTCTGATCTTGGTCTCAAGGTCAACAAAATGGTGCTAAATCTATGCACAGACATTAATAGCCAAAGTCAAGATACCATTTTAATTCTGGGTGGAACTAGTCCCTTCCTCTAGGAGCATTGGATTGTGACTCTGCCCAAGTGGGTTTTTTTTTTTTTTTTAATTAAAGCGACATGTATTGGTTTAGTATACTTGTATCTATGTATTTACATTGTGTTTTATAATCACAAGGCAACATGTATGTCACAGAATAATATTCCTTGAAACTATTTTTTTCCCAACTTTATGTCTTTCCTGTCTTTTCTCTAAGCCTCAAGTAGTGACCGGTTTTCTTCATAGTTATGATGGGAGAGCTCCTAATTTAAATTATTCCCCACTTTTTTCAACCCTCTGAAAGTCAAAAAGCATACAACTCAGCATCCATCTAAATTGGTCCCAGGTTATCATATTATAATAGAGGGAGAGACCTAGAGACATCACAGCGAAGAGATGAAAAGAGAAAAACAGCAGAGAGAGTGAAGGATGACAAAAGGGAATCCGGATATTAGAGCGATGAGTGAAGATAAATAAGAAACCTCAAAACAGATCTGAAGGAGAGGGCAAGTAGGCTGCTTTCTCCCAAAGGTGATGTCTAGTGTGACATATTCTTGGAAGTGCTGAGACCAGAACATGTAAGGCACTGGAGGAGGATGCAAGAGAAAGAAGTAAGTCAGAATCTGACCTATGCTACATGTTTGTTTCAGTATTCATTGAACGAAAGGAAGCTGCTAGAAATGAGGACAGAAATGGTGGCATTGGTAAGAAATGAGACCGACTTTTCTTGGTCATTTTATTCATCTTTGCTTCATCCCATGCATGGTTACTGTTGTTAGTAATGATGTGTTATAGGAAGATACATGCAGGTTTACTGTCATAGGATTTTTTTTTTTTAATCGTGGTAAAATACACATAAAAATGACTATCTTGGGGCTGGCCCCGTGGCTGAGTGGTTAAGTTCGCGTGCTCCACTGCAGTGGCCCAGGATTTCAATGGTTCGGATCCTGGGCACGGACATGGCACCGCTCATCAGGCCATGGTGAGGTGGCATCCCACATGCCACAACTAGAAGGACCTGCAACTAAGATATACAACTATGTACAGGGGGGATTTGGGGAGTTAGCGCAGGAAAAAAAAAATGACCATCTTAACCATTTTTAAGTGTACAGTTCAGTGGTGTCAAGTGCATTTACATTATTCTGTAACCATCACCACCATCCATCCACAGAACTCTTTTCATCTTGCAGAACTGAAATTCCACCCATTAAACCCTAATTTTCCGTTCCCTCTTCCCCCCAGCCCCTGGCCACGACCGTTCTACTTTCTGTCTCTATGAATTTGACTATTCTAGGTATTTGGCCTTCTGTGACTGGCTTATTTCACTTAGTATAATGTCCTCAAGGTCCATCCATGTAGTAGCATATGCTGAAATTTCCTTCCTTTTTAAAGCTGACTAATATTCCATTGAGTGTATATACCACATTTTGATTATCCTGTCAACGGACGCTTGGGTTGCTTCCCCCTTGTGGCCATTGTGAATAATTCTGCTATGAACACAAGCATACAAATATCTGTTGGAGTCCCTGTTTTCAATTCTTTTGGGTATATACTCAGAAGTGGAGTATCATAGGATTTTTTGCACTTAACAAAATACTTGATTATCTCTTTTTTTTTTTTTGAGGAAGATTAGCCCCGAGCTAACATCTGCTGCCAATCCTCCTCTTTTTTGCTGAGGAAGACTGACCCTGAGCTCACATCCATGCTCATCTTCCTCCACTTTATATGTGGGACACCTGCCGCAGCATGGCTTGCCAAGTGGTGCCATGTCCACACCTGGGATCCAAACCGGCAAACCCCATGCTGCCGAAGTGGAACGTGGGAACTTAACCACTGTGCCACCGGGCCAGCCCCAATACTTGATTATCTTTTTGAAAGTTTAAATCTCAGTAATTGAATAGTAATAAGGAAAGGAGATTGTTATTATATTTTCAACTTATGGCATGCGTTACTTCTTTTCTCTCCTTTATTACCTGGGGCCTCTGAAACCTACAAGAGACTTCCATGAGAGAATTTTGGAACACTTTTCTCCTCATCAGGCATTTATTTCCTTACTCGTTACCTGAATTGTTAGCCATAGGGAACTACTTACTTGCCCTAAGATTTTTAGTGAAGTATTTCCAGTGTTTTTTGCATTAAGGAAATATTAGAGCCCCTTTATGACTTCAGCCAAACCCACCACCCTTTGGGGGATTAACTGTGTATTTTGTTTAACTATCATATTTGGGAAAGAAGACAAATAGGCCGTTGGTATAGTCAAGCCTCCTGATAATAAAACACTTCATGTTTGCACTATAAAAGAAGAAAGCTTTCAAAAATGTGAAGAGAAATAGTGCCAGGGGAAGTCCTGTTGCTTTCAGATTATCTAAGATCCGTTTTTTTTTTTAAGGCATTTTTTTGTGTTCTCTAGGAGGAATTTAGAAGGACGAGACCCATTCGTTGTCACTGAGCATAGACTGGCTTTGTGATATTAACCTTATTTGTAGAGCAATCTGTAATTTACAAAAGCTTTTTTTACATAGGTTATCACATTTCATTCTCTAAATAGCCTGTGTGAAGGCAGAGCCAAGGGTATTTTTTTCCCCTGTTTTCAGACAGAAGGAAACAGGCCTACAGACGGTCAAGGCCCTGACCAGTGCCACATAGCAAGGGGATAGTAGAGCGAAGACGAAGGCCCGAGTTCTCCTCAGTTCTACCCCAAATGTCCCCTTGACTGCGCCCTGTGGGGAAGGAACTCTAGGACTGACGGAGCAGAGGGGCTGGTGTCCAACGTGGTTTAATGCTGTGAATCTCTTGTTTTTAAAAGCATGCCCAGCAAGACCGGGCCGTCACCCAGACAGACAGGAAGATAGACACTGAGGTTGCTGGCCTTAAAACCATGCTCGAGTCGCACAAGCTCGATAATATTAAATATTTAGCAGGTAAGCTGTTTTGTATCTTGGTAGTCAAAACAAGCTGAAAATAAAATAAATAAAATTTAGAAAATAAGTCAAAGACAGATATTGCATTTCGTTGATTCTAAGACATTTTTTTTTCATGTTTTAACATCTCTGAAATTGGAAGGCATTGCACAGTTTCCAATAGATGGAGTTATCATACTATAATTGGCATTTTTTCTTTCTTAGTAGGAAATAAAGTGATGTACTTGACAATCGATGGAATCTTAAATTTGACAAGATGCTGTCATTGAACTGTAGTTATTTGGATTTTTTTAAGTGAAATTCAAGACAGGGAATATTAGAATGAAGGGCTTTTCTGTGTTGTGATCCTTCTGCTTCAGTTGGTGACACTCCTTATAAGGAGTTAATTCGCTTTTGTAATTTTTGAGCCAAAAGAGAGAATCTCATGTACAAAGAAAAGAAAATCACTTAGCCATTATTTTAACTCAAATTTAACATTTTGGATTACTCAGTGTTTTAAAGTCGTAATAGTATTTAGAAGTGAAATTTTGCTCATAAAGTTAAAGAATGTGTCCCTGTATAGTATCTATACGTATGCTTAGTGACCACAGAATTTTTGTGATTCTAAACTTTTATGAAAGGTTTTTTTGAAATTTGGATACATTTGTACTCTGAAGATGATGATTTCAGGGTGTGGGGTTTCTTAATAGGCAGATGATTCATGGGATGTGGGACATCAGTGAGCAGTCTGTTTCTTGGGTTTTTTGTTGTTTTTTTTTTCTTGCTGGATAAGCGTCTGTATGTGTTCTTAATAAAAAAAATGTCCCCTCAAGTTACTGTTAATAGAACTAATACTGTACTCAATTATTTTGTTCTTACAGGCTCTGTATTCACGTGCCTGACAGTAGCTCTGGGATTTTATCGCCTGTGGATATAATAAAGCGTGTATTTAAGGAAGTCTCTATTGTTTGGCCTTAAGAATTCCACATTGTTGTGCTTTTTTTTTTTCTCATTTCAAATTTTAACCTTGATTTTGATAAATGCATGTTATTTATTTTATGCAAATTATGGACATAGAACCAGAGCAAAGAAGTCAGGAATGTCATAACGGCTCCTCCATCTTTTCTGTTGGGTTGACTTTGTAACGCTGAGTGGTGGTGGGCAAAGCCGGGAGACCACTCAGCTGGACCAGTGAACTTGCTCTCACCTGTGGGGCGTACCAAGAGTAAATATTTGTATAATTCTCGACACTTTCAAATCTTTTGTCACACAGGATTTGGGGTCTCCATTAAAAGGCACAATGTCTTTACTAAGAATCATTGACAGCAAAGCAAGAATACCAAATCCTCTTTATCTAGTGACCCAGTCCATAACGTCAGCCAGCCCGTGTTAGAGTACACTCATGCGCCGACAGACCGCATATACGACAGCGGCCCCATAAGATTGGTGCCATATAGCCTAGGTGTGTAGTAGATTATACCATGTAGGCTTGTTTAAGTGCACGCTATGATTGTCGCACAGCGAGGAAATCCCCTAACAACGCATTTCTCAGACGGTGTCCCGTTAAGTTAAGCGATGCATGACTGTATTGTTTTGACCGGAGTTGATTGATATGTTAATGACACAGCTGTACTTTACACCCAAAGGAGACTTTTTTCTTTTAATTTCCATTATCTTAGTAAGTTCTCGTTATGGTTATTTGTATGTGCCCTCAAGCTAGAAAATCTTGTTGCCTAATGAAGTGTTGTAATTGTGATGGGAACTCTCTCTCACCTCTTAGATGCTGGATTTCCCTCCCTGCCTCTTGCTTCATCCCTGTTCCTCTCCCTTGTGGTCTGAGAGCTCTAATAATGCTCCACGTGTGGCATTATTTGCCTAGAAACTTGCTAACTCTTGGCGTGGAGCTCTTCGCCAGTCTGGGGACAGGGTCTGCTTCCTTCTGGTCTTCACCTGCTTTTTATACAAGGGAGGCACTCAGTTTCCCCTCTCTAGTGATATCTAGATATCTAGGTAGTGTGCAAGGTTTTTGGAAATGAAAGTTGGGTCTTTAATGAAACTTGTGTCTTTGCCCCTTACAGGCTCAGGTCATAGGCTTAGAGAACTGTCATGCCAGGTTATCGTCCTAATAATCTAAGTTGGCTTCTTTGGTTGTTAAAGGCATTCTCATACCTACCTTACCTCTATATTTAAAACAAGTAAATTCCTGGGCACAACTGGGGTTATTTTGGGGAAGCACATTTGTACCTTATTTGAATAACTGGCACCTGGAAGAAAATAAGCAGTGATGACATTGGTGGCCCTTTTCAGTCTTTCTCTGCATGCGCACATGTGCACATAATCTGGTACAGTGGAGAAACCACATAGAGACTTCTTGATCAAACTGGTAGAATAATTTACCCACTGTCCGTGTTCCAACCAAGGGTAAATCCAATAAGGAATCTCCAAGAGGAGAAAGTACCATATGCAATTAAGTTGCAAAGCAAAGTGAAGTGAACTTACTTCCTGATAAAATATTTTTTAAATAACATTCAGCGGGGTGACATTCTTTCCTCTGCCGAAAGTATGCCAAATGACATTCTTCCTGGTGATTGTGGGCTGCACCAGGCTGTCACTTAATTTGGGCCCTTGCTTTTGCTGTAGAGTTCTTCCCAGTACAGAATAGCCTTTTTTCTTTTTTAGCCTTGGGAACAATGAACTCTCCTTTTGATGGTGTGGATTGCACACATGTATGGAGGATGGGCGGGCTCAGGACTGTGTTCCCTTTATTTAGTCAAATGTATTCTATTTGAGAAGCATATGAGCTAAAAATACAAGTGCACCTTCCCCCTGCTGGCCCAGCCGCCTGAACAGTGTGAGCGTGCTGTGACCAGACAGGATGACAGCGTCCTGGCTTAGAAGGACTCCCGTCACTTTAGGAAATGAGGCATTAGCACTCAGAAGGGAGAGGTGCCTGGCAGAATTTCAGATAGCCTATGTCTGGCACAAGGGAAGTGAACCATAGCTAGACCCTGAAGACGTGCCCCCCTAGACACAGGCGCCAAAGCAGATGTCAGATACACAGCCTCTCTGTGTTTCTTTCTCACACACTAATCTCTCCATTCTTCGAGGGCCCCTCTGCATTCCTTTCCTCTCCCTTCCGCTGCCCTCAAGAGCCTAAACTCTAATTCCAGTCCTTTCCTTCTCCATAAATAAGCAAAACTTGTTGGCATGTATGGTTCTTCACAGGAAATGGATTTTGATTTGTGTGCTTGCCTCCCTCCTTCAGCTGGATTTCTAGTTTAGTATCTAACAAGACTCAATCGGAATGGATTCATTTTTTCCCTTAAGTGTGCCAAGTGCCTCTGTTGAGAAGTCACAAGCTCAAGAAGAAAGGCTTGACTCAAACCAGACATCTTGCTTGAATTTGTCTCTGAAACACTTGAAAAAGAAAACCCTGAGCCTCAGCGAGCACGTCCCTGCCTGGGTCGTCGGCTCGGCTTCTGCTTGCCCCCTTGTAGCTGTACTTAGTGACATGAACTTCCCTCTTATGTCCTAGTCTCCTCCCTTCCAGCCTCTGTGCCTGTTAAGCAACCGGGCCAGCCCCGGCAAGCGTCTCTGTTCCTCTCCCCTGCTCTCCTGTGTTGATGTGGTTGGCGTCATTTCTGAGTAAATACCGTATAGACGGTACTGCAGGACTCACTCAAGGTCTGCAAACCCTTGGCTTTAACATACATTTGTTAAATTTGTTGTGGCTTTTCTGACCCGAAAGCAAAAAACATGTTAACCAGACATAATTTATTCTTTATGTATATAAAATGTTTGAGATAGCCTTTTATTGGAATTTTATTTGGAAAATATGTATCTTTCTACAGATTTACACTTTTATGTTCCTCTGATAATAAACCAAGTCATTTCTTAACCCTTTTATTACTTAAGCAAATATTCAATGACATGTTTTTTATGATAGAGTAGGTATCATATTTTTGTCTAAAATAAAAGTACTTAATTCTATTTGACTAATACACTTTTCTAATCATTCCAATGGAACATGAAAAATTAGAACAACTGCGTACACTGTATTTCAACTGTTACTCCCTCCATTTGTATGTGATAACACTGGTGTATTATAAGAAAATCTAATACTTAAAAATTTGGATTTACACAGAAGATACATTTGAATGTAATTATTTGATTTACGAAATAAATTTTTATAATCCAAAACAATTAGCATGCTTGTGTAAAATATTTTAACTACTTGTTTGAGGGGAAATGAGGTTTATACATGAGTTTGTAGAAATAGCTGAGGATTCAGGTTGCACGTGGTAGAAATCCACATCAGGCCGGGTTGGGCAAAAAGGGATTTGCTTGTTTTGGCTTACCTGATCAAAGTTCGGGAAGAGTGAAACTGATGCCATCAGAGCTTGTCTCTACACCTCTTACCTCCGCCTTTTCTTGGGTGGGCGTAATTCTCTCAGACCAACTTCAGGTGTGGAGAGCCGGGAGCAGCCAGCGTGTGCCCTACAGCCTGGCGATGGGAGAGTTCCACTTTGAAAAAGCCTGAAAGGGCGACTCCAAAGCAAGCAGCTGAGGTATCGCCAGCGGAGGGGCACGACCGTTCACTCGCTTAGCACACTTCCCTGAGGACCTGCTGAGCAAGCGTCCCACCTCTGACAGCTCACGCTCTTCTCCAGTCATCCTGCACAGGCTGATCTGTGTAATGTCTGCTCAAGAGGGAAGCGAAGGAACGCCTTGGGAAAGCAGATGAATGACATAGCAAGAGAGCCTGGAAATTGATTTTAGGTACATTTCATTTTCTCCAACCAGAAATCTTGAACCCAAGTTAGAGAGTCAGATAAACTAACTGGGTTTGAGGGTGAGCCCTAAAGTTTCTAAAAGGCCCTAAATGATTTGCAAACCCTGCGTTTGTGTTTAAAAATGGCTTGCCGTGGATGTTGTAGGTGGTGGCCCATCCACGTCTCCCCTCAGTCCTGCTTCACACCTGTGTGTGCAAACTAAATACCTTTTCTTTGCCTTGCGTCTTTGATTTCCTTAAAAACAAGAAAACTGTTTTAAAGAAAGACATTTTTGGGGCTGGCTTGGTGGCGCAGCGGTTAAGTGTGCACGTTCTGCTTTGGCAGCCCGGGGTTCGCCGGTTCAGATCCCGGGTTAGGACATGGCACTGCTTGACAAGCCATGCTGTGGTAGGCATACCCACGTATAAAGTAGAGGAAGATGGACATGGATGTTAGCTCAGGGCCAGTCTTCCTCAGCAAAAAGAGGAGGATTGGCAGCAGATGTTAGCTCAGGGCTAATCATCCTCAAAAAAATAAAGATGTTCTAGAAACAGCTTTCTGGAATCTAAACATCTGCACCTCACAGCAGAGCTTTGCCATTCCTTGTTCTGCCTTGTTTTTGCAGTTTCCACAGGAGGACCACAGACTGTAGGACCGTGGAGAGGGGTCGGAGTGGCCGCTGTCAACCACAAGGCTCTAAGCATCGGCATCCTTAACTTAAGTCGAGAGCAGCGAGCTTTTGGTCTTTTCATAGCACAGATAAGCAGATAACGATTTTGAGGCCAACACTCCCAGGAATAAGAAGTTGAAATATGTGGGCATTTTACAAGGTCCTAACTTCTTTCAGTTTAAACTAATCCTTCTTTTTTTTTTTTTTTTTTTTGCGTCTATTTTTCGGTAAACCTTAATCAGTTGTTCATGACTCTGAAGTTTCAGGTCAGCTTAACAGTAAAGCCCAGGGAGCTGGCCTCACGGTTGCAGCTCAGCGTGTTATTGCTGCGGTCGCTGTCCTTCAGAGGTTTTTTAATAAACTTTCCCCTCAGACTCCATGACTCCCATTCTCCCAGGGGAAAAGAAACAGCTGTGTAGCGGCCTCTTGTCCCTCACAGCATGAAAGCCAGCGTCTGCCGGATACAGAAGTATTCTTTACTATTTCTCTTACTTTTATAGTAGTTTACGGTTTGCCTGAACCTCACAGCTTTCCGAGAGGCGCTGTGTCCTTCTCAAACCTCAAGAATTGCTGCCTGTGAAGACCTCAGTGGAAGACTTTGTGAGGAAAGGTGGAAGGCTGGGGGATCAACATACTCTGAACCCATGAGGGCACTTATCTTTTTTTAATATATATTTGTGTCAGATGCTTTCAGCTGCAAGTAACATAAAACTAACAGTGGCTTTTAGCTAATGACTTTTATTACTTACTTGAGTCTGGAAGTAGGCAATCCTCAGAGCTGGGTTGGCAGCTCCACGTTGCCTTCAAGGAGTCAACTTTTCATCTTTCCACTCTTACCTTCCTCTATGTGTTAGCGTTCCATTTCAGCTTTGGGGTTACTAGTCACAACATGGCTGCCACAGCTCCAGGCATCACATCCTCACATGGCGGTATCTAAAGCAAAAAGAGAGAGAGGTGCAAAAGGGCTCTTCTTATATGTATCTCTCCTTTTAATCAAGAAGAAAAGTCTTACCCCCTCCCACAGAAATCCCCTTATGTCTCACAGGCCAGGATTAAGTTCACATGGGCACCTGTAGCAAGACAGGTTGCAAAAGGGAATGTTTAGCATTTTCAGCCCCTCTGGCAGGGGGTGGGCAAGGAATAAGGAGGCTGGAAATGTTGGGTTGGCATTCAACAGTGTTGTTTACAATGTTCATGAAAATAAAACACAAGCTACACACTAAAAAGAATCATACAATCAGCTTTGTTACCAGCCTTTAGAGGCTAGAAACACCTCAGAACGTCCTTTCCCATTACTTCCAATAACGTGGGTCATTTTATTTTATTCTGTGTGATGTAATATTTTTACTGGCTCTCCAACCAAATCTTTAATTCTTTCCTTTATAAACTGGTTCCCAGGATTCCACCACTGTTCTGGATTAACTTGCATGCTTGAGGGGAAAAAAGTTAATTAACAAAGTCACATGTACGCTTGAGTATTTCTCAGAACTCCTCCTCAATATACAGGCTTGTCTATCCTCAGCTTTGGCAGCTTTTGGTTTTAGCTCAACCACGGCACACCCCAGGCACCGCTCCCTTCCCCTTCAAAGGAGCGGGGTGGACTTGCAAAGGCACTGCCCTCCTCAGTACCCTGAGCTTCGTTTTTCCCTCCATTGCCTTAAGCTTGGTCAAAGCATGCGTCCTGTGCTCCATCTCACTTCTCAACTTCGAGGTTCCCTCTTTTCTCTCTCCTACAAGAATAATGCAGGGCATATATACTTGATCTGAAATTTGCATGGCTGCAGGAAGTGTAAAAAGTCAGTCTAGGGTGCCAGCCCCCATGGCCGAGTGGTTAAGTTTGCACGCTCCACTTTGGTATCCCAGGGTTTTGCTGGTTCGGATCTTGGGCATGGACATGGCACCACTCATCAGGCCATGCTGAGACGGTGTCCCACATGGCACAGCCAGAGGCACTCACAACTAGAACATACAACTATGGACTGGGGGGCTTTGGGGAGGAGAAGAAGAAGAAGAAGAAAAAGATTGGCAACAGATGTTAGCTCAGGAGCCGATCTTTAAAAATAAATTAATTAATTAAATAAAATAAGAAAAGTCAGTCTACATTTGGTAGAATTCGAGGTTGGGAAGGGGTGACCTGCGTGCAATCGGTGGCCCTTGGGCTTGCTCAGGGGGTGGTGGACCTAGAAGGCATCGTGTTCTTTACTGAACAATCTGTGCTTTGTGGGATGCTGCAAATTACTGATGTATCCAGTTCCTTCATGCAACCGAGGACAGCTGCACCTGCAGAAAGTCTGCTGATGATGCGTGTGTGCAATTAATCACAAAGTCAGGGGAGGACAGGAAAGCTGTTGACCCAAGCATGGGCGGTTAGTTCTGCATTTTCTCCATTAAGGTTGATGCAAACGCCTTGGCTTGGTTATGAGCACCAGCAAGTGCTGGGACACTTAGCAGCAGCAAGTCCCCAGAGCTCAAGAAAACTCTAAGGAAAAAGTTAAACATTGAGAAAAATTTATTAACTTCTTCCTGCTAATTAATAAAGCCATGATTATTTTGTTTTAGCAACACAATATCTTGGTATGGTTGCTAACCACCTGTTTTTACAGGCAGGTAATTTCACAACTGACTGATGAGTCAGGAGCCCTAGGTTCATCTCCCAGCCCTGCCACTTGTTGCACTCTTGGGAAAACCATTTAACCTTGCCAAGCCTTAGTTCCCAGATTTCTAAAATAATAGCAACAATAATAATGATAATGGGGATAATTACAGAGCATGTGTTTGCTGTTTTCCAGGCGCAGTTCTGAAGTCTTCACACGCTCCCTTAGTCTTCACCACGTCCCTATGAAGTAAGTACTATAATGGTCCCTATTTTACAGATGAGGAAATCAAGACAGAGAGAGTTGAAATAACCTGCCCAAGAGCACCCAGCTGCTGATTGGGGACTCCAGACTCAAACCCAGTGGTTCTGACTCCGAGGATTAGAGACTCTACCCAACTGATAGCACTTGGTAAGGATCAACTGAGGTCAAATACATGAAAATGTTTTGTAAACAATAAAACCATACATGCATAGAAAATGTAACGCGGCCCATGTGCAATAACTGGACTCACTTACAGTAATTACAGCTAATCTTGCTTACACCAGCATCCGAACAAGTACATTTCCCTCACTATGCTCCTAGCAACTACCCCGGAGTGCCAGAGCAGATGAGCTTACTGAGAAAGATGCAGAAGAACATAATCCTTTGACCAGCGAGGGTATAGATTGTGGTAGGTATTGCAGGAATATAGATAACCTACAGGAAACGAGCGTAAGCTCTAAGTATTACACCATGCCAGCCCTTCCTATTAATCCCGGGGTGGTCGTGAATGACCCTCATTCTTTTTGGAGGTCTTTATATAAAGGGATTGGTGTTGACGCGGAGGCCACTGTCTAAGCCTTAGATTCATCCAAAGTTTAGGTCTTGAATAATTCTGTATTATTTAGCTCAGTACCCTTTTTTTTTTGTGACACGGTCATTAACTAGGATATTTTATTCTTAATCAACCAACTCTACCATCTGTAGCAGTAAATGAGAATATAAAACAAACTTCAGACACTTGTCAAAAGTTCCCCAGAAAGCAGGGCTACCCAAATCTTGACCAGGCCCTTGGGAACATTCACATCTCCTCCAAATTCTGTTTTATTTGTATAAAATTCTTCTTGCCTACTCTCAGCTTTCTGTGGAAACCACGTGTCTCTAGTCTTCTCAAGCAAAGCAGGA